CTGCCATCCGCCTTGAGGCACCTCATGGCCTCCCCGCTCGGGTCGGTCTGCCGAGCCAGCGCGCGCAGCTCCTCCGTGATGTAGATGTTGTCGAAGAGGACGTTGGTGAGGTAGCTCCGCAGGTAGGCGGCCGACAGCGCGAGCACCAACAGCACGGACGCGACGGAAAACACCGTGCTGAGCACCGCGCGGACCTTCTCCACGGTGGCCTGGAACGTCTTGAAGTTTGCCGCGACGTTGCGCCTCACGTTCTCCACCTTGAGCCTCAGCGAGTCGAGCTCCGTCGAGACGTCTCTGGTGTTGACGTCAAAGACGTAATTTGACTGGACGGAGTGGAACTGCAAGAGGCCCTTGACAGTCTGCGTCTCGACCGTGGCGTATTCGCGCACGACGGCCTCCCTGCGCGCCGAGTTGTTGATGACGCTGCGGATGCCGCTCAGGGCTTTGCACAGGGACACCTCGCCCAGCGCCCTGAGGTTGTGGAACGTGTTGGGAGCCGTGTGAACCGCGAGCAGCGCCGCCGCGGCGTACAGGATGTACTCGCGGCCACGCTTCGTGCCCAGCGCCGGCACGACGAGCAGCGAAATGCAGCGCAGCTGCTTGGAAGAGAAGAGCAACGCGGCAGTCATGGCCACGTAAGTGGCCGTCACGCCCAGGCGGATGGGTGGCCGCACCTCCTCCGCCTCCCACACCACCTTGAGCGCGAAGCAGCTGCTGAGCGCGGACGTTAGCAGGCACAGTGCGAGCAGAAGGCCACGCTCGCCCCGCGTAGTCGCGTGCGGCAGGCGGTACACGGAGTAAGCGGCGCGCAGGAGCCGTGCCGGGGCGCAGGATGTCACCTCGGGCCGATCGCGAGAGTCGTTCATGGTGGCGAGCAGCGGTCGATCTGTGGGCAGAGAGATGCGCACAGGCTCCTTCTGGTCAACGGAAATCCACGTTCGCACGCGCTCATAGCGTGGTGTCCTTCGATAATTTTCATAGGATAGGGCCACTTTCGCTAATAAGACATCATCAGCGTGAGGGCCATCGCACATTTGAAACCATTGGGGTTTGACGGCACGACGATGGGGTGTTGTCACATTTATGTCCTGTTGGAGGCCACACTAAAGGCCACCAGGGGCCACCAGTGGCCCGTGGGCCTTGCAGTTAAGAACAGTGTCCTCTACTGATTGAATATCAAGAATAGCCCATAGAGTGACTGAGGTCATCAATCTCAAACCATGAACCACACAGTACAGCACTGCCTTGTTCAATCATTAGCCAGCAGAATTTAAAATATTTATCAGACAGCTCCTGAAGCTATCCACTGACTTGCTAACCTTGCCACTGAACATGCTAACACTTCCGATCAACCCTCGACCATACAAAAGAATGGGAAAGCCAATCGGGTATGAAACGCGTGTTTGATGAATTCCCAAGAGACAACATTTATGTAATGAGATATATAGGGAAATATGCATAATGTTCAACTAAAATCATCATACGACTATAAAAAATAATATATACCTCCAGTTCCTGGCTGGCTACTGGCCGGTCTGCGGGCCGTTTCCAACAAAACTAGCTGGGTAGCCGGCTGAAAGGGATGCTCCATACAACAATGAAAAATTGACATTAATTGAAACGGCACAATTTTAGAAAACGTATGACAGCGACACCGAAGAGGTGGGAGTAACATAGACCCATTATTGACACGTTTTTTTATTGCTCAACCTGTTCAATTTGTGCTATGAATGTAATTATTTCACCAGAACAATATTTATATCCTCGAGAATATACGAAAACATCACAATACACGTTATATTGCCATTTTATTCCAATAAAAACATTACTTTCAGTATTCCGATTACAGGATTGCAGGAAGATGAAGAATGACAGCTGTCTCTGATTTTAAGTAAAGTTAATTTTCACACTATTTTACCTTTTTAATGATATTTTACCAGGCAAGGCCCACCGAGCTATATAGCTCTTTCTCAGAATCGACCTGGCATATCAATGACGGCTCAACGAAGTGGCTTATCATTTGGACATTTACAGCAGCCAAATTCTCTTAACGCATGTTTCTGAGTGTCGAGGAGAAACAACCAGAGGACCCAGAGAAGAATCCACGCCAACACGGGGAGAGAGAAACGCAAACTACAAATATACGGTCGTCAGGGTCGGGATCGAGTGCAAGACCTGTATACCAGCAAGTTAACAAACACAGTCCCCTTCATCTAGCAGTGGTTTGAAAAATTACTGTTCAGAATGAATAATTATTGTTATTACTATATAGAACATGACATCATCTTGATTCATTGAAATCAGTAGATGTGAAGTGCGTAGCTTACTTTGCTGATGGGCGGAGTGTTTTCTCGGAGCCGAGTCTCGTCTTTGCATGAGCGACCACGAGGTTTCTCCTCTTCAGGAGGAAGGAAATTTATATATAAAAAAAGTTGTTGACAGATTGCAAAACCATAATCTCCGTCTCAAAATGAGAAAAGAGGAAATTCCCACGTGACGAACCCCTGTCCCTTTTGCCGTGAGCTGTTGGTTGCTGATCGGCGCAAACAGCAGAAGGTTTCGCCAGCATGGGAACCCGTCGATGTAGGTGTCATGTCACTGAAATGCATTTTTTAAATGAATCTCTTTATATTATTAAAGAACGTTTCAATTGCAGGTGACACTATGTCCGTGTTTTGTAAATAACTGTCAGGCTAATGTAGGCCGTGCAATTACATAGAATTAGTGTGACTTGAAATGTTCTAAAATTGTATGGTGTAAAAATCTGTATTTTGTTAATTTAATCATACATCGTTTGCTGATACTGTTACTTGTGCTCAAGCACAAATAACAAAATAACTTTACACATTTGTGAACAAAACTTCCTTAAAATATAGTTTTTCCTCTTAAGGCAGAGTTATTGCGCAAATAATTAAATAAATATACATATTCGTCAACAAGACTTCCTTAATATTTTTTCCCTTTTAATGTAGTGTTATTGATGAATGTGAGCATTTCGTAGGTTTGTTTAAAGGTTTGTCAATGAAAAATCAAGCATTTTGGGTATGTACGTTTGTAAACATTTTTTTATCACATATTGTATAAATGATGTGTGTTTTACGTGTTTCATGTGTTACTTGGTAAGTGTCGGAGACTTGGTTTCTCCTTAGTGTGCATGTGGGGCTCGTCTGTTCTCCTGTAACGCGTGTTTTCATAACGCCAATTGGATATAACGCGATTAATGTATGAGGGAACACATTTGTTATAACGCAGATGCAAATTGGACATGCCGCGATTGAGTGAACAGAAGTACGTCGCCAGAGTATAAATAAGCGGTTGTACGGCTGCCTCAGCGTAGCATCACACAAGGCAGGATGCTGCTCGATGCTTCTAGATGCTACGTGTATAGGCATTTAATAATAATGCAATTTATAACGCGGGCAAATTTGCGGACGTAACGGCCGCAACTCAGAGGTGCGGAGCCAAGCTCAGAGTCTCTCTCGAGAGAGTCTGGTTGTAGAGGTGAGTCTTTAAGTGTCTCTTGAAGGAGACGATTGAGGTGATGCTGCGGATGTGCAGAGGGATGATGGCGTTCCAGACTGTTGGGGCAGCCACCGAGAAGCGGCGCATATACGTGACCGTCCTGGATCTTGATATCAAGAGGAGGTCGTGAGTCGCGCTGCGTAGGCATCTGCTGCAAATCGTCAATAGTGAAGAGAGGTACGGGGGGCAGGCAGATGTGAAGGCATGGTGGCAGAGGCAGGCGATCTTGTATGTGACCCTGCTGGCAATGGGTAGCCAGTGGAGGGCACGGAGAGAGGCAAGTGAGTCGAGCCGGGGATGAGTGCGGGCGATGACGATGCGTGTCAGGTGGTTTTGTCGTCTTTGAGAGGAGAACGGGACTCGGACGGAGTTGCAATCGTCGAGGCGAGACTCAACTATGCAGCGTGCCAATGTGCTGGCAGTTTCAGTGGAGATGAGAGACGTAGGTGTCTGAGAGCCTTCAGGTGAAAGTTACATGAACTGGTGATATGATTGGTTTGACGATCGGAGGATAAAATTGAATCTAGGATGATACTGAGGTAGCTGAAGTGATCGGTGAACCTGATGCTGTGACCAAAGATGTGTCTGTGTGTTGGGAGCACGGATAAGTTGAGACGTTGCCTGTTACCTGACATGATGGCCACTGACTTTGACGTATTAAGGGCAAGGTTGTGTGCAGAGAACCACTGTTGCAGGGCAGTGGTGGTGCATTCCGAGAGCCTCTAAAATCCAGACACATTTGGTAGAATTGATGGCGATGGACAGAATAGTGTCGTCCGCATATGAGTGGTGCTTGACACCGAAGCTTGCGATGAGGTAGCAGATCGGCGAAATGTAGGCTGTGAACAGCAGGGGACCGAGGATGGAGCCCTGGGGGACGCCACATAATGCTTTTGTTTCAGGAGATGTGGACGAGCCCACCCTGACTGATGATTGCTGATCAGAAGGTACGACAGTATCCACTTGAGTGCTGAGCCACATATACCAAAGTCGGATTTCAGGAGGGAAGTAAGATTGATGGTGTTGGTTGACCCTACTTTCACCAACCAACACGGACCAGCGTGGTGAAGTATGATCACCCCCCCCCCCCCACGACTTTCGTGGTGACACAATAATAATATGTTAAAGAGTCTCCCTCTATTCTGTTCCGTCACTCGTCACGTAAGCAGGTCCCAATGAGGCGGGACGAACTTCTCCCAATCTTTTTTTTATCTCGTCGCTTCATGTAGACCTACTTCTTCTTTTTTACCTTTTCACTTGTAAAAGGTTATAGAAGGGCAGTCCTGCAATTACTTGCACCGGCCACTGCTGGCAGAAGGGCCTCTATTAGGGGCACCACGGTGGCGAGATGTTATCTGCCTCGCCTGGTATGCAGGAGGCGTGGGATCGATCACGACCCTGACACCTGCTGTATATTTGGAGTCTGCATGTCTTTCCCCGTGGTCGCGTGGAATTTTCTCGGGGTCCTCCGGTTTTTCCCACCACATTTATAAACATGCGTTTAGAGTATTTGGCTGAAATTTCCACATTATGAGCCATTTCGTCGAGCTATGATTTGTTATAGCTAGGTCGCTTCTGAAAAAAGAGATTCATATCTCAGCGGGCCTTACCTGGTAAAATAAAAATAATTAAGAGTTATAGTTTAAGAGGGAGCTCATGAGAACAACTCAACAGGGTATCTGGCCGATACTCTTCCACGCTGGCCACGCGTCTCCGAAGCGATGGGAGTATCCGCACTTGACCCAAGCACACGCGGCCTGCTGATTGACCATCTGGTGTGTAGCCACACACACCGCGGCCTGCAAACAGGCGGGGAAGATTGAATCAACTTTCCCGTTCTTTGTGCTCGGAGATCGAGTCGAACTGGCAACTTCTGGATTGCAGAGTCCAGCGTGGTAACCATTATACCATAGTTAACCGTTCCTTTTTGTTTGCCTTCCTCTTCTGTTGTAAGCATTGTGTAAAAAGCAAAAATCCGTGGGTGTCGCTAACCAGGGCTCGAGTTCTCAATGACGGTCTCCCAGAGCCTCTCGCCACGGGCATTCCGCGGAGGCACCCTGCGCTCGCCCTGGCAGCGCCTGCGCCTCCTGGGCGGCTGCGCGCTCGTGTCGTCCGTCTGCGGCGCCGCGCTCTTCTGCAGCCTCCGCTTCGGCTTCGGCTGCGCTCTCGCCACGTCGCTGCTCGTGGCCGGGCCGCTCGCCGCCGCTGCCGCCGTCCTCGCGTTCCTCTCCCGGCAGGCGCGGTGCCTGGCGGCGCTGCTCGTCCTCGCGAGCGGCGCCAAAGAGGCACGGGGCGCCCTCGCCTCGGCAGCCGTCGTCCTCGCGCTCACGCGCAGCCTGAGCAACGTGACGCGGAACCTCGACATCCTCATCGAGTGCTTCGAGTGCGTCGTCAAAGCCTCCCTGCAGGGCATCAAAGAGTTCGTGTGCACCGTCAAAGAGGCCGTCGATTTGCTCTATGCCATCACCAAAGAGATCACGAGAGCGCTCAACGACGTTTTCGGGGGCATGACGTTTAGCAAGATTGGGGACGAGCGCTCCGTGGGAACCGTAGTCACATGCAACGCGAGCCTGCAGGCCATCGAGGGCATCAGGAACTACACGGAGGGCATCTTCGCGCGGCTCAACGGTGTCGCCGACGTGCTCTGTCATCCGCTGTTCAACGCCGTCCTGGTCATCCTCAACCTGCTGATCATGCTCATCTTGGCAGGCCACTACTTCAGGCGCTACAGGCAGAAGCTCAGTTTTGACAACGTCTACATCACCAACCAGTTCTGCAGCATTGACAGGGAGCTGAGCCGGCGTGGGGAGGAACACGTGCTCCCATTGCTGAAGGTCGAGCGGGAAAAATTAGTCATCCTCAGCTCCCTGGCGCTGTCAAGCGTGGAACGACGGGCGATGGTGCGTTACGCCGTGCCAGTTATTACCAACGGCCTGCTCTGTGCCGTGGCCATTGTGGTGGACTACGGGGTCTTCCTGCTCGTCGATGTCGTCTACAGGCACATGGACAGCATCGCACACGAGCACATATCATTGGATATGAACGTCGAGGTAGGAAGGCTGAAGAGTTTGTTACTTTGGATCAGATCTTTAGATGTACGAGAGATAAGTTGCAGATTTACACGTTTTAGATTTTGGGGTTTTCAAAAAAATGTGAATTCTTTTCACTTTTTCATATAATTTACATTGTATAATAATTGAACGTGCCTTCGTGCTAACAAAATTGACATCACCTGATGCCAGGTGACACAACAACCTTGTGGGAAATGGGTGGAAGTGATATCATGGAAGTGGAGTCCCTTCTTGCGAAATCACACCTTTGGATTAACATGAAATAAAAACAAACTTCGGACCATCCGTAATTTAATATCTTGACATTGTTTGGAATTTTCGTAATTATACGCTACTAGCTTTACTACCCGGCTTCGCCCGGGACTTGGATTCACCACGACTGGCCGCCTTTGTCTCCCCAGTGGCGATGTTGACACACCACACCACTTACTCGTTTGAGGCTGAGTCGACCTAGGGGAGGCCCAGGACCGGTTCAAGTAATCGTCACCGGCGGTGGCCGTGAGCGGGAATTGAACTCGGGTGGCCTGGTTCGTAGCGCAGTGCGCGAATCGCTACGCAGTCGCTGCCCCCACACATACACGCGCTTGCTGCAGACACAACTTTCAGGGTGCGTACGGTAGTAAACGACTGAAATAATAAAGCAATGCTGCGCGAAGAACGCCTTAGACCTGTAACACATTTGTATTTCACTTTACGCTTCCGCACACGGGTCACATGACAGATATTCTTAGGTTTATTCGGTAAAGTCACGTAGGTAAAACATGACAGATGTGACGTCACAGCTCACTTGCCGTGCAAAATATATGCATAATTGCGCGCCCCCTCCAAAAAAAATATACAAAAGTCTATTTTTATAATTTTTGCATGGTGTACAGTCTGGAAAGTACCTACATAGCAAATTTCAAGTTTGTTGCATGTCGGGAAGTACGCTAAACATTTTGAACAGACACATTCACACATTTCCCTTATATATAGATAAAAATAAAAACAAAGTTTTACTGACTGGAGGGAGAAGACAGGCGGTTGGACACATCCAAAGAACGTGTGCGTTGATCGTAATTCCGATTTGATTTTAAATAGCATCGTTCATGTAAAAGTGCATCTCACAATCACCAAGGAACCACAGACAAGCTGAAAGACAACAGCCAAGCAGTTAGGCTGCACCAAAAATTTCCCAAGTTCTGCAGTCCTCTGTTTCTTACAGTGTTTTCAGCGAATTCATGAATGTTTAAACACGTGGAAGAAAACCTGAGTCCCAAAAGAAACCCACATGTGTGAAGGGCAACGCTTTATCCCAGCCCAATGTACATATGTAGATTAGTCCACACTTTTTCTGTATTGCCTTCTGGCAGGCCAGTGTATGGCACTTCAGGAAGGGCTTTTGGCAACTGTATGATCGACCAACCCTGGCGTGTGCCCTCATCGCCCAGCTAAATCTGGAACACATTGCTATAAGGTACTCGTGTAGAAAGGCCTCCATTTGCGGTGTGCAGTGGCACATGTCTCAAGTGCAGGGAACTGGAGGAAAGGTGCTGCACATGGCGATGTGCTATCTGTCAGTGCAATTTCTTCACAGGCAAGGGATTTATCCGAGCATTCGAGACTCCTCCTGTGTACAAACACAGGAGGAGACTGTATTGGCCAAAGCTGTGCAATACAAAGAGGAACCTCCTAAAGAAGAACAAACATAGGATGGAGATTTTTTATTTCCTGTGTCCTTTATATAATTCGCAATTGTTGGCACAAGATAAATATATAAATGACTGTTATGAATATCCTAAGGCAATGTTCGTCGGGAACATAAGGTCTGGATAAATGCTGCTAACCACTCCTGCTTCACAGCCACTTGACCTGAGTGACCTCATTTGAGCCTGGCATTAAACTCAATGCATTTGTGTGTTGTATTCAGCTCATACGTACGTACGTCCATCGTCATTGTTCTACTAACTTTGGAAATTTTATTTTTGTTTATCCTTTTTTCAGGTCAATTTATTCATGATTGTGTTATTCCCCGTGCTGAAGAGAAGCCAATCGTTTCAGAACAACCTGTCGCTCATTGCCGACAAGTGCTTCGACAAAAATCGCCCTCCGACGCCTCCCGACAAGGGCACGATCGTCAAGGTGTGCGTGCTCTTCGCTGCGCTCGCCCTCTTCTCGCTCTCGTCAGCCTTCATCAACCGGCTGCGGCGCAAGGTCGTCAGTCTGTTCTACCCCGAGAGGGAGGTGCAGCGCATCCTGTACCTCCACAAGAAGATCTTGGACAAGCGCAGGAAACGGCCCAGGGAAACCATCAAACTGCACAGGACCTTACTGCAAAGGTGTGTGAATAGGTCCCTATCTAACCATGAGTACATTCTGGTGTTCTCGCCATTCTCATCGGACGATGCTATCACGGATGTGCTACGTTTCTCAGTGTGGTAGCTTTTGCAGTAGGCAGGCAATGTATATTCTAAAGAGTAATTTTCAGATTTTTTTTCTTTCAAATTTGGACCATGGCCTACTCTTTTTCGCATGTCACGGGACCTTTGACATCCACTGTGAGAAGTAGATACAGTAATGCATATCTCTGGTTAATATGCTCAGTGTTATCCAGGGTCGGCCATGTGTCTTGAAACACGAAGCTTTGCAACAAGCGGAAAACGTGCCACTTCTCGGCCCTACTGTGAGCCTTTTCTGGTTAGCAAAATAAACCAAAAACCTTTCACTTTACCAGAACTGTCAAGGAACAGCACTGCAGTGACTCAAAAAGGGCTCCCACAAGAGAGCTCTAGAGGACATTTTGGCCCACTCTTCCATGCTGGACAGATAGTGCGGAAAGACCCACACTTTACTCCACCACACGTGACCTGCCAATCAACTGTGGTGTACAAATTGACACTGTCGAGTGTGGAGTATGCGTTTAACTTCTTTCCTACCGTATTAATCAGAGGTGGACAGAGGTGGACAATTTAATCAACTTTCCCAACTGCCGTACTGGTAAATCTTACAGAATTGTCGACTTATGGATTACAAGTCAGTGTGTTAACCTGTATACCAGGCAGTATCCCTCCCCAGAAAAGTCTCACTGAATCTAAACATAATTTTTCACGAGCAATGAATCTGGCTTGATCCACCTCTCCCCCCAGCTGCCCCACCCCCCACCTCTCTCCCCCCAGCTGCCCCACCCCCCACCTCTCTCCCCCCAGCTGCCCCACCCCCCACCTCTCTCCCCCCAGCTGCCCCACCCCCCACCTCTCTCCCCCCAGCTGCCCCAGCCCCCACCTCTCTCCCCCCAGCTGCCCCACCCCCCACCTCCCTCCCCCCAGCTGCCCCACCCCCCAACCCCCACTTCTCTCCCCCCAGCTGCCCCACCCCCAACTCTCCCTCCCCCCAGCTGCCCCACCCCCCACCTCTCTCCCCCCAGCTGCCCCAGCCCCCACCTCTCTCCCCCCAGCTGCCCCACCCCCCACCTCCCTCCCCCCAGCTGCCCCACCCCCCAACCCCCACTTCTCTCCCCCCAGCTGCCCCACCCCCCAACTCTCCCTCCCCCCAGCTGCCCCACCCCCCACCTCTCTCCCCCCAGCTGCCCCAGCCCCCACCTCTCTCCCCCCAGCTGCCCCACCCCCCACCTCCCTCCCCCCAGCTGCCCCACCCCCCAACCCCCACTTCTCTCCCCCCAGCTGCCCCACCCCCCAACTCTCCCTCCCCCCAGCTGCCCCACCCCCCACCTCTCTCCCCCCAGCTGCCCCACCCCCCAACTCTCCCTCCCCCCAGCTGCCCCACCCCCCACCTCCCTCCCCCCAGCTGCCCCACCCCTCAACCCCCACTTCTCTCCCCCCAGCTGCCCCACCCCCCAACTCTCCCTCCCCCCAGCTGCCCCACCCCCCACCTCTCTCCCCCCAGCTGCCCCATCCCCCAACTCTCCCTCCCCCCAGCTGCCCCACCCCCCACCTCTCTCCCCCCAGCTGCCCCACCCCCCAACCCCCACTTCTCTCCCCCCAGCTGCCCCACCCCCCACCTCTCTCCCCCCAGCTGCCCCATCCCCCAACTCTCCCTCCCCCCAGCTGCCCCACCCCCCACCTCTCTCCCCCCAGCTGCCCCACCCCCCAACCCCCACTTCTCTCCCCCCAGCTGCCCCACCCCCCACCTCTCTCCCCCCAGCTGCCCCACCCCCCAACCTCCACTTCTCTCCCCCCAGCTCTCCCGTCGCCGGTAAACAGTGCGCGCACTTCAAACAGTCGTTTAATTGTACAAATTAATTTAAAACGTGATAACATGCAATTTTAGTGTGAGTGGTTTATTCAGCAGTGCTTGGATAGTGGATAGTCCTACCATGAAAACATTACACGGGTTATGACGTGTCACACGTGTAAAATACTTTTGGGATAGCCCACACCTCCATACACCCTGCAGGGTCTTGTTTGTTTGTAAAAAATTAACCCGTAAAAACAAAGTTTTTCACTATAAATCCTTTATATGCGTGTTCAATGGGCCACAACCCAGCCCACATTGGTCTTTGAAACGGGCGGCTAGAGTCCTCTCGTCCTCTGGCTTGAGATGGCTGCCACCTATGGGTCAGATGATTGCCTGCCACCATTAAACAATTGGTAATTAAATATAAAAAACCTAAAGTGTAAAATTTTGGAAAAAAAATTCACGCAAAGAAATTGTCACGCACAACGAGTCTGTGTGCAAAATGTCAGCTCGATTGGATCACGGGAAGTGGGTTAAAACACGACCGGAAGATTTGCACGGTCGTAAGCGCGCAAGCAAGTGAACTTAATATAAAGGATTTAAAAAGTGGTCTACCCCGCGGGTTCCATGCGGGAAAATACAGCCAAGTGGCTCACCATCTGGAAATGTATGACAGCCATGGGCATTGGAAAATATAGGCAGCTGAACGTTGTCACACGATCACCTTGTGCGCTGTACCCGCCTTCATATGGGATTACAAAACATATACACTTGTGCTAACAATGTTTGATAGGGATCTTTTGTCTTCGTACACCAAAGTAAATGATTGCATATTCTTTATGCGCGACACATTTTTATTACACACGTATCCAATTATGGAGCTGTGCAGAATATTAGCAGCATATACTCACGTGTGCTTCTCCCGAATTTTTGCAGCATAATGAAACGTGGCAAGCGGGACACCTCGAAGAAACTTGAGCCACTTGGGAGTTTCTAATCTCCTATGTGCCTTCATCAGTGGGAGACCGCAATCACGTAAACACATCTCTTACCTTGTCGATATGCCCAGATTATGTCCTGGGGCTGTCGAGCACATTATAAATGATCATAGCTTTTCCCCAGCTGTCGGCATCTCTCACGATGTAACAATGCAGAAGGTTCCTGCACACGAGATGTTTTCATCACTTCATCATCTCCACGATGGGTGTCTGCTCGGGAATGTTCCCTTCTGTTGGCTGCCAATTCATGATTGACATTCACCACCCAGCTCCTAATAATGAGTGAAGCGTCCAGCCCAAGACCACTTAACAGTTCATATCTTTGCTTCTTAAAATGCATGGTCTCGAATCCATTGACCCTTTTTCTGCCTCTCGGTGTAATTCAAAGCACGCAACTCTATCCGGTTCTGCAACTGTTAAACTTGTATCCCATGTACAGAATAAAATCTTAACTAACTATGCCTTTGCCTTCAACCTACCACTTGACTTGGCGATGACAAAACACCTCCGACAGATGTGCTCCACACACTGTGCTCACACTGCAGGAGCAGTGTGCTCCTGCAGTGTGAGGAGCAGTGTGCAGGAGCACACTGCCGAATTCGAGAAAAAAAATGGCTCTTATTTTGGTTGCAGACCCCCTGGGTGAGGCCAATAAGTGAGCAGTGTGCAAGAGCACACTGTGCTCCTCACACTGCAGGAGCACAGTGTGCTGCAGTGTGAGGAGCACACTGTGCTCCTCACTTATTGGCCTCACCCAGGGGGTCTGCAACCAAAAGAGCCATTTTTTTCTCGAATTCGGTAAAAAAATACAATGTTTCCAGAGCCGCAATGCACGTGGTGAGTACGAGAGTCCCCAATACATAACGTCAGGAAGCAGTCCTTACAAAGCCTAACGGTTCTGGAACCGAACGTCGCCCAACCCCTCCCCGGTCTATCCTGTAGCACTGTTAATAACATCAACGCTCACCGTGCACCCGAATCAAACTGGCACGTGAACCGAGTGCTTTAGAGTATACACATAAAACCATTAATATGTAACTGGATCTACATCTTAAATTATGCGACATGGTATGTAGCTGCAAAAATGGCAGTGTATTATTGCATGTGACCATTGCTACATGGTATGTAGCTGCAAAAATGGCAGTGTATTATTGCATGTGACCATATCGCCTGGAGTGTGCCGATCTCATCAGATTTTGGAAGCAAAGCAGTCGAGAGCCTGGTTAGCACAAGCCGTTCGTTATATGCTGTGGGAGCTTCGTGGTGGACAGAGGAGCAAAATCCATTGTTTTACTGTACTTCTATGTTCACACGTCTGCCTTCACCACTGGCCAGTCTTCAGCATGGTCAAATGTCTCAACCTGCACGGCTTCGGAGGCCCTCACCCAGCAATGAATGTATAAAAGGGCTGTAGGTGTGTGTACTTCGTGTATACAATCTGGCCTTGTGACAACTGCTTATTAAGATGGTTCGACCTGAGATCGCAACGTCGTGAGCTCAAATCCCAGTGGAGGGTGAACTCAGCCCAAAAACCCAACCAGGGCTACGAAAACTATTACGGTGTTGTGTGAAGTCAACAGAAGATGTTCAGGTCACACCTCCCTCGACCAAACATTCAACTTTTCTCATTGGCTCAGGACTGTACGGCGGAAGGATCATTGAAACGCAATCTACATTAACAACCATTAAGTGTGTAAAACTGTTCACTATAATATGGGATGGGTGAGTATTTTAAAAATAAAAACAAGTCTAAAGCATATTTATTGCTGCAACAATTTCACAAAATATCAAAACACATCACAATAGAACTTATTTCATCTTATGCTATTGTGTCAAATATATTGTTTGCCACACCACTGTGCAGAACACTTGCACTGCATTCCTGTACTTGTTCTTCAGCAATACAATGAGCCTGAGGTTGCAGTTTGCATCTTCGTTTGCTTGCAACTGACAGAAATTTAGTATTTGCTACACACACAAATGTGAAGTTCTGTGCATTTATGCACAAACGCTACATCGAATTTAACGTACAAAATGACATGTGCATTGCATTAATGTTACTTTAAGATCTGTAGATTTTGCTTCATTTGGTAAACAAGTCTAGTGGTACAAAATGTACATATGAGGACCAATTCTGAGATCTGGCCAAATTGCAATCAGACGTGATCCAGATGAAGTGGTAAAAGGGACCTTGTCACTCATTTCCCATCGCACTGATCAAACCCTTAGAATAACCCAAGTACTATTTTAACGCAACCATCCATCAACTGCACTCCACAAGCTCAACACAACTGTTAATGTGCTATGCCTATGGGTTTGTAAGGGTTGAGCGCAAACAGATGCAGTGTCAACATACGAGTGCACTACACGTTGCCCGCAGCAATGAGATCATCACCATCCCAGCAATGCCACCAGCAACAAAAACCCAACTGCGTGCAACTGTGTGAGAGACGATTGGCCATGTTGGCTCAAGTCTTGTGGAATCCGGCTCTGGTGCAGTGCTGCACAAAACTCGCGACACAGACATTTACCTAAGCTTGGGATGTATGTACAAAGCGCAGGATACAAGAGTATCCTCAAAGATAACGTGGGCAGACATTCAATGCCCTGCATACAAATGGGGATTTATTTGCAGACCCCTCAAAATTTTTACGTTTAAAAAAAATTAAAATCACACTCGAAACTCACTTGAACAGAATACAATGCAATGCAGACCAATTGTTTGTCACGTGTGCACGCTGTGTGGAAATGTCACGTGCCAGAGTCCCAGTTAAGAACTATACTGCACAGCATCTAATGGTAGCACTGGATTGTGCGTTGCAGAAATCGCTCGTTGATTTTCGGCAGTTTCGGTGGGTTTTTTTCTCCAACTTTCCTTTGTATTTTCATCATGTAAAAAGTAAGTTAAATACAAGTACAGGCTGTAAATGTCCTCAATTTGGCCACGATGGAAATAGCAGGGTTTTCTTGAAAAAAAAACCCAGATATTTCTGGGGCACCCATTCCTTTAATTTTATAGTATTTCTTGGACACACCTTAGCATAAAAAATTGCCCAGAAAGCACAATGGCTCAGCACTAGACAATACCACAGTGGCAGACCTCTATAAAGGTGTGAACACAGGGAGTTCCATAAGCACAAGGAAATGTTTCTCCCACAGGGGTTGACTTTGTTCTCCGGTATAAATATGGGTGTTTTGGTTCGGCACCCAACAGAATCAGGAAACGCACTGAGGAACACGACTGTCACCAATCTGACTCTTTTTTTACTTACACGCATTCATATGCTCTACTTTCCTGTGGCCAAATTACCATGTTGCCGACAGACAACTGCGTTATCACCACTGGACCACGTGCACCAGTCAGCCAAACCCCCGCTAGGAGCGACGGCTACAGTTTTTTCCACAATTACGTCATCCACCAATCTCCGCAGATCATGCGTCAGCCCCATTCTCCACAGGCTCTTCCGCTTCCGGTTTCGTCTCCTCTTCGAGTTTCTGTTCCACAGAAAATAAGACGTTAGTAAAACAAAGCCTTGGGCCAATACTTGATTTTCGCTCAGCTCACAAAGCATCATGGTCTCTTTAATGCTGTCAAAGCGAACCGTAAGTACTTGCGTCCCATCAAATTTTGCTCTGTGTCTCGTGATTATCATACAATTGCGGTTCTTATTTTGCAAAGGTGCAAAATGAAGAAACCCAAATATGTAATGTGTAATATGAACTGGCATCCATTGCCTCAATATGGCCGAAACCCACGATACACCACACATGATGCAGCTGCAGTGCCAAGTTTTTACACCTTGTCTCGAAAGTTATGGCAGTGATGTCACGATTCACGTCATGAGGGCGCTTTTGCGGCGCTGCTTAGTCATGTGTGATGACCCACAGCCTAGGTAAAAAACACATCTAGGAGCACGTATGGTGTTTGTGTTGTATTTTCTTTGCATATAATGAATTGGGCTTTCACAGACGCTCAGACAGCAAGGAAACGTGGCGATAATGAGCTCACCTCCTTGACAGCGCCAGTGATGCCGGCCAGCAGGTTGGAGAGGCCAGATGAGGTGCTCTGCAGCAGCTTGGTGAAGGCGCTGTGGCGCTGCTCTAGGCTCCGCAGCTTGTCCTCCACCCCGCTCAAACGGCTGTTTGTCTCCTTCAGCTCCAGCGACAGCGCCAGGTTCGTGTCACCGGTGGCACTCATGCTGGCGTTGAGCTCCTCTGCACAAGAAATTGCCAAAAGCGGGACGTTTCGGAAGTTTAAACGGAGTCCTTTATGTGCCAGACCTTGCCCTCGTGGAACTATGGCAGAGAGGGCAACTCATAATTGTGAAGTTGTAAGTTTTAATCCCAGCCTTCAACTCGCTTGCTCAAGCATCATTGAGGGGTCCATAAAATTATCCATTTGTGGAAAGTCAGCAGAGGTTGTACTATGACTTGAATTTCAAGACACATTTACTCATTTAAAAAAAAATATATATGTACGTAAAAATGTCCTGCATGGGATACCTACTTGTTATCATCCACCTTGCTAATCCTACAAAAACCAATATCACACACACACACACTTTGAGGAAATGCCAAATGCTTACCCATCTTCAGCTGTAGAGCCTGATACTGGCACTCCAGGTCATCGCGCGCTCGCTCGCTCCGCTCCAGCTTTTGCAGGAGGCTGCCCACGTCCACCAGCGCCCCCTGATAGGTGACCATGCTGGACTGAATATCCGCGTCGCCAGGCTTCCTCTTTGCCGCCACTCTGCTGAGCGTGAAGGGCAGCATAGGCCTGTTTCCTGCGTCGTGGCCATACACACATGGCACGGGCAAGGTCACACGTCGCTATCGCGGCCGTCATCCAGCAGCAGACTGACAAAAGGGACCGTAACATGAGCACTTAGAGACATTTTAAGACACCGCAGGTCCGCTGTAGCAGTGGGGTGTGGTCAGACTCGGACAGCCTCCCCCCCCCCCACCTTGCGCGAGAATTTCCTCCAACGTGGAGCTTTGTTCGTGCCGCGTCTCGCTCACCGACTCTCCCTCCAAGGCGTCCGTCAGCTTGCGATAGTTACACACGTCGCGTACCATCACTTTGGACAGCAGCTTCTTGATCTGCAATGCAGACGAAACGTCAACACCGTCACTGCCGCCCCCCAAGTGGGAAGTGCGATCCACGACAATGAATATTCGGCAATATTTTCAGGACCGCTCCTTGATATCATTCAGACCATCCACGTTTAAATTATTGTGGCGGAGGATGCACGAGATGGGTACATGGGCACATTGTCATGCAAGCCATTAGGTAACACAGTTTTTAATTTGTAATTACACCTGCAGGTCATGGGGGGTTATTTAACCATATTTTACCATGCTGGTCAGTGTGAATTAAAAACCCAGAGCATTGACTTGAGAGCAAGGACGTACAGTAAAACAAGGTCGTTAGGCTGCACTGCCCTCTGCTGCCCATTATGTTATGACAGCCTTTAAGACTTGTCATGAAAGGTGGTAAGCTATACAAGTACTATCCATGCTCAAACCAGCTTAACTTCCGGGAAATTACATTAGGCACATTCCGGGCGATTTGGTGAAAGGCTCATTCGTCATAGCAAATGGGTCACTACATGTATACAGAGGCACGTTACGGGAAGGCACAAATTAGCCACGAGTCGTGCAGTGCATTCACTTTGGGGACGGCAGGTCTCTCTATTCGTACTTGCGCTCGTGACATGTGCAGACCCAGCGTGTACAGGATTTCCTCCAAGTCCTTCTCCTGCAGGTAGCCCGTGTGGCTCTGGTCAAAGTATCCGAAAGCGAGCAGGAGGTCTCGGTATACAGTGACCTTCTTCTCCTGCCAGGCCAGCACACAGAAGCGAGGCGTGTGAACACCCGCCAATCAAAAGAGAGAAACATAACATTGACTTAAAGCTTTCGTGACTGCAGGAATTCCTATTATTGGGTCTTTTGGTAAAGTCATGTAGATAGGTTCAAAGAAAATAAAAAAACAAAACTACGACGTTTTGATCGCAACACAAGCGTTCGTCGTCAGGAAGATGACGAATGCTTGTGTTGCGATCGAAACGATGGAAACGTCGTAGTTTTTTGTTATTTTTTGTTATTTTCTTTGAACCTATCTACCTGACTTTACCGAAAGACCCAAAGAATATGAATAAACATAACATTGTCGACGTGAAGGGGCTTTGGGTTAAAACGTACCTCATATTAGTACGGTTGGCTATGTAGGGTACGAAACAAGTTAAACATACATACATACGTAACAAACCACCACGGATCTGTGTTCCCAGGCTGCCCGCCGTGAGTTTAAGGCTGTCAGTGATAATAATGTTCACGCATCTTTCAGAGGTATGCTAAAGACAATTTTAATGGCACGCCTGTAGGAGGGTTGCATTCCAACAGTTTTCACACCACAGCGACTTTGATGGAATGCTACTGGCGGCAATCCTGAAGTAAAGAAATGTTTTCAACAATGAAGCTTCAAACTAAGACAACCTAGGAAAGAAGCTACGTGAGATATCTGCTTCATGGGGGGCTGCCTTCCTTGAAGCCACACTCCAGTGTCTCTACGGCTGCAGTGCCTTCTGGTTTTCAATTCAATAGAGTTCTAAAGAACTTAACCGAACCCATGATTGATATAATGCTTAAATAGGCCTTTTTCAGTGTTTTCAGCTGTTAAGCAGTTAAAGATGTCAAGCTCTCTGTGAAACGTGTAGAATTCTGGTATACGAGGACTGAAGTTGTGCACCCCTACTTTAAGTTCCCAAGTGATAATTATGAAGTTTCACAGTGAACATTTTAAATCACAACTACCTTTTCTTTCACAGTTTTTTCTTTGGCTTTCCGGTCTCCTTTTTTGTCATCTTTTTTGTCATCTGCAATTCAACAAAACAGCAGGCAGCATAAATTCGTAACACATATTGTAGCTGTGTTCTGCGACTTGTGATATTTTGGAATATGCTTACATTTTTTAAACCTTGCTTGCAGGAACAAGATAAGCACTTTTTAGCATAATTTGACCAAACAGCATGTGTATATTGTAGAAATCCATAGCATTGCATGTAGGTGTTCCCACCAGTTTTTGTGGCCGTGGATGAACTCACCCTCTTTATCATCGTCGTCATCTTCCTCGTCGGCCGAGTTAGAAGCCTCCTCTTCCCTCGACTCGGAGTCCTTGTCCTCCTCCTCCTCCTCTGCCTTGAGCTGCCCCTCGCTCTCCTCTGCCTTCATGTACAAACAGAACATTATCAGCATCATTGTCGCCATCACCGAACATCACCAAAAACCGTCGCCCACATACCCTGTTCCACCCGAGTAAGAATTGTGCGGTGACTAACACAGGACATGTATGGTGCTTTGTCAATGACACAGTTGAAATGCAGCGACTAGTTTATGAGATTGGTGGGGGAAATGAGATGCCAGTCAGAATCATTATAGCAAGTAAGTGTCCAACAGGCAAGCGGTATAGTGAAGTGTTATTCACACCCTCTGGTTTCCAATGTAAACATATAGACCTTTTTTTTCAATCCACTGCTGGATGATGGCCTTCACACGCCGTGCTGGTCGTGGCGGTTATGTGAACATACTTCAACACGGTGGTCAGTCGCGGGATGGTGAATGTGGGAATCACTGATGTTGAAACATTTCTGCATTGCCCTCTGCTGCGCAAAATGTATAAATGTAAGAAAACTTTACATCCCGAATTATAATCCATCTGAAAATTCATCTCTAATATACAGGTGAGGATTTTTCTTGGATACACATCATATTATGCTCTACTAATAAATATTAAGGCACACAAAAAAATGCAACCAAGTTAAAAGCACTCTTTGGTTCTTTCGGTAAAGTCCTGTAGATAGAAAATGAATAGATCACGACGTTTCGATCGCAACACAGCGACCGTCTTTACCGAAAGAACCAAAGAGTATGGATTCCTGCAGTCACGAAAGCTTAAAATCAAGTTAAAATCAGAAAATAAAAGGATTACTTTTTCATCTTTCTCGTCGTCGGTTTTCCGTTTCTTGGCCTTGGGCTCTTCCTGATCTTTGCCCTCGTTTTCCACCTTCTCCTTTTTCACGACAACAACCTTCTCCGTGTCCTTGTCGTCGCTGTCCTTCTTGGCCTCTTTCTTCTCCACCACTTTCTTCTCCACCTCTTTCTTCTCCACCTCTTTCTTCTCCACCTCTTTCTTCTCCACCTCTTTCTTCTCCACCTCTTTCTTCTCCACCTCTTTCTTCTCCACCTCCTTCTTCTTCGAATCCTTTTTGTCAGTCTCTTTCTTATCCCTTTTGTCCTTTTTCTCATCCTTCTTCTCCGGAGCGGCCATCAGCGCCCGGTAGATGCGAAACCCAAAGTCCCTCTGCAGCATTTCATTGAAAAGCTCTGCGAAGAGCGACACCTGCGTAGGAGGTAAGGGGGGATGGGCAGTGAAATGTGAGGCAGAGGCGTCAGCTGGACTTGCGCTGCAATGTGAAGTACGTGAAAGCTGGACACAAGCACACATTATCGAAGTAACACATCCTAAAATTAGTGAAAGTAATTTACTTCTGTTTACACGGATTCAACGAGAGGTTTATGTGTGTGGTTTTGGCTTTAAGTGGGGCATGAGCCGGGTACCTCAAATGAGTGCTCCTTGTTATCCTCGATTCGGTAGTCGAGCAGCACGCTGAGCGACATGACGCTGCAGTCGAACTTTCCGCTCTTGGCAGTGCGGTTGGGGTGCACGATGATGGAAGGCATCTCGGGCAGCGTGTAACGCCGCTCTTTGCGCAGGCGTTCGTTCTCCTCCTGCCGCTTCTTCTCCTCGTCCTGAGACAAAGCGGTTATACGGTCGAATTTAGTTGCTGAGTTTATCCAGCCAGGTGGTGGGGGTGAATTTTGACTTAAAACTTTCATGACTGCAGGAATTCATATTCTTCTTTCGGTAAAGTCACGTAGATAGAAAAATAATAATAAAAACACTAATGTAGACTGTAGCCTGGTTCTTAATCGGAGTGAGTGTACTGGCAATCTATAATGTGGACTGTAGCCTGGTTATTAAGCTGGGTGAGTGTACTGGCATCTATAATGTGGACTGTAGCCTGGTTCTTAACCTTGGTGTACTGGCAGTCTATAATGTAGACTGTAGGCAGGTTTTAAGCTGGTGAGCAGATTGGCAGTCTATAATATAGACTGTAGCAATGGTTATTAAATTGAGTGAACGTACTGGCAGTCTATAATACAGACTGTATACTGGTTCTTAACCTGAGTGAGCGCACTGGCAGTCTATAATGGAGAGTTATTCTGGTTCTTTCAGTAACAAAAATAAAAAAACAAAAACCACGACGTTTCGATCGCAACACAAGCGGTCGTCATCAGGAACAGGGGGGTTTAGCCTCTGAAGGCAAACTGTTTATAAAGGTTTAGAGAGGGGCGGGGCAGCTAATGTTAATGTAGGAGAAAAGCCGACACCGACAGTAGGCCAACACCAATCAAAGCAATGCACCTCTCTCCACACACCCACACTGCTGATGGTGGAGGTTGACAAGAAAACACAAATCAAGACATGACCCAAAGTGGTTTATGACATCTTTCAAATGATTGCTGAGTTTATAACCATCCTCTCGGTTTAAATTGTCTGTGTCTGAAAAAATGGATGGCTTCATGAACGAATCTTTCATGATAGCCAGTAGGCTTGCAAAGTACCATCGTCTTAGAGAAATCAATTTCGCGCGAGCCAGCTGCATTAAAACAATGATCAGCCATGGCAGAAGTATTGGTTCTACAGTTTCAAATCTGCCTTATGCTCACGAACACGGTCCGAGGTATAGTTTCCCCAATGTAACTGCTGCCGCAGATACAGCTTAGTTTGTAGACGCCGGGATATTGCATGTCAGGAATATTGTCCTCCACAAATGGGATCAGATCACGAATTTGATGTACTGTGTTAAATCAAAACCATCACCTTGCCATACATAGCAGGAGTAACCAAAAAGATTTCCAAAATCATGAACAAACACATTATAGACTGCCAATACGCTCACCAGCTTAAAACCAGGCTACAGTCTATATTATAGACTGCCAGTACACTCACCGAGGTTAAGAACCAGGCTACAGTCTACATTATAGACTGCCAGTACACTCACCCAGCTTAACATTGCTATAGTCTACATTGTAGACTGCCAGTACACTCACCAAACTTAATAACCAGGCTACAGTCCACATTATAGATTGCCAGTACACTCACTCCGATTAAGAACCAGACTACAGTGTACATTTTTATTACTTTTATTCATTTTTTTATCTACGTGACTTTACCGAAAGAACCAACAAATAGGTGGTGGGGTGGTTAGAGAACCCGTCTCTCATTCAGGTCACAAGTTTAAATCCCTGAAGGGTGCCGACCAGGACTATTATCAGGTAGTTGTTACTTGCCTACTCATTTGGAAAAAAATTTGAATCATTCGATGGTAAATAAAACACAAAAAGAGTGTGTAATGCATCGATGAACGTTCATTGCAACGAGTGCCACCACCTCTTCGGTCTCCTCGGCGGGCTTCTTCTCCTCCTCCACCTCCTCAGCCTCGGCCTTCTCACTCGCCTCCTGCTCCTCCACCTCCAACTCCTGCTTCAGCTGTTTGATTAGCCGCGCCACCAGCTGCGACTTGAGACCCTTGGCGTTCATGCTCCTCACCTCTAGCTCCTTGCGCAGAGAACTCACCTGCCGGAGTGAGCATGGGCACGGCGCAGGATCACACACATACACACAGGTTCACAAGTGAATCATTGCATACGATATGGCCCAGTAGTTGTGCAGCCCTTTGTAAATCCACTGCCCGATGAGGGTGTCTTTCCACCACGTGCAGGTTGTGGCGGTTGACCATTCTGGTCAGGATGGGTTGGCGAAGAGAAAATAGATGTGTTGGCATAGAATTACAGATGTTTTATACTACTAACTGCTTACCAGCACGTAGCCCGGCAACAACTATCCCATGACAGATATGCATACTGAAGACAATTTAAATATGATGATCAAAACACCAAAGTTTGAAAATGTGTGATGCAAGCAAAGACAATGAAGAGCGTGCGAGCCGCAAGGTCAAAAAACCATCAGGACCCTAAGCTGTTGATGTCACCAAACGCCTCCATCTATTACTTTCTGTTTCTAGACGCCACAGCCATTGCAGCATCAACCCAAGTCTGTTCTGGCAGTGTAAACAACGGTGAAGTAAACATCCACTTGGTCTTACCTTCATCGTCTTGGGATCCAGCTTAGAGTGGTGCGTCGGAGTCGTGAGTTTACCATTTTCATCCTTTTCTTCATCATCCTGTCCAAACAGATTGGAGAAACGCTAAATTAGTCACACGTAGCAAAGGCACGTCCTCCCATGCAAGCTGCCTTCAAACCTTCCACCAACAGCGCTTGCTCTCGTTAGAGCAGTTTGGAAAAGATATACTTCCTTCTGCTTAAGACATTCCTGTGGTGCTTTAGACACAGTCCGAGATGCCCCTAAGTGAATGGACACATGAGCTCTGATGCAACAAGTCAATCACAAGAGAAATCTGCAAATCACAAAAGCATTTCATCAGTTTTGGGGTATACAGGGCAAGGGCTTCGGTAGGGGGTATAGATGGGACAAGACACGGGGAGGGCAAGGGTAGGGAGAAGCTTTGACAGTTCCTACCTACAAAAGCACGCTATTCACTATGAATTTTGATAAACTTACTGTGTTTTTTAGTTGATGGATTAGAACTGTAAACTTCATACGAGAACATAATAAGTATGGAAACGGCATAGAAATCCAGCTGTAAGATTACCCTTGTTTGTACATGGTCTGGAGCTCTCCGATCACATCATTACTATTATACCCACGGCCAACAAAGTGTGGCCGTATTTTCACGAAAGACTACGACGTTAGTGTATTAAAAATCTTACTTCCAACAGTGGATAGGCTTTGGAGATACAAGGACACACTCAGGGTTTCTTTTTTCTTAAAAAATTTGGCTCCAGGCACTCCATGCGTCTCCCAATTGGAAACGTTCAGATGAGGCACGAACTGCACCAACGGGGGACATCACGCTAACGAAAAAGCCACGAGAGTTGGAGCACCGATCCAAACAGGCCGCGCATCTTCTCGGCGGCGACACTGAAAAGTAGATCTCCTCCAGCTGGCGTCGAGCGGCAACCGCGACAACACAAAGGAAATGATTTTGCAAGAGGACGTGTAGAACGCTACACTGGTGACGTTGGCTCAGCGAGTACATTTTGGCCAACATCATCTTCCCGTAGTCCACCAACACCACCAACAACAATTCAACGGCAACAACAACACACAGAGACATGTGTAGCCTAAACGGTATAGGAAGCGGGAAGGGGGTTCCGGGGTTGAGGGGGGGCAGGGAGCGGGCGGTGGAAGTAGAATGAAGGGTCGGGGTAATGGGGGAGAGCGTAAGAATGACGGGAGCTAGGGCATAAGGGCAGGCGGGTGGGCGAGTGGGATTGGTTTCAGTGCCTGTTCTCCGTCCACCTCCTTGTTCGCGGCCTGCGATTTGCCCGTCAGCTGCTGCTTGTAGCCTCGCGAGAGCGCCTCCCACTCCAAACGGGTGGGGGTGCAGTGCCAAACATCCGGGAGAAAAATAACCACAGTCTCCACGCGAGCCGCCACCTTCCGCCCTTTGTGCAGCTCCTCCGGGCGGTGGTAGCGGATCTCTGCGAAACGGTACCTGCCGCCCCCGTAAAGGGGCGCACCACCGGAAAAGGAAAGACCTGTCAGGACCTTTCTTATTAATGCTATTAATATCATCTTCATCGTCAACATCGTCATATCTTATATATATAAAAAAAAAATCGCTTACCACTTTCACAAATAAGACAGGATAATTCTGAACGGGCCTCAGTCACCGATACAAGTGTAGGCTTATTGATGGGATTTGTCAGTGAATGGGTGCAAAGGAAGAATGAATTTCGACCATGGACAGTTGACGAGTGCACAAGACGTGGGACGCGACACTCTCACCCTCCCTCCCTAGGCCCTCCCAAGGAAGCACACGCAAATGCACGGGAACGACAGCTGTCACGTGGGGGCACGGCAAGACAAAAACGGACGACAATTGTACACGCAGCGGCACAAGCAGACACCAACGACAGCACGCGCTTTGGACACTTGACAAACGCCGTTAAAAATCGCATGAAGTGCAATGGTCCTTGGATTTGTCTTGAGGGTGGAATAAAGGCACAAAAATGTCACTGTTGGCAGATATTTTGTGGAGTGAAATAAGCAAAGATTAGATATAGATGTGCAATGGAAAAAAATACGTACATGGTTTGTATACTCATTGCTAATTATATAAACATACATACAACTATAACAAGATTATGGATATTAACATGAACGTACATTTAATTTCAGCCAACATCTGCAAACATACAGCTTACAAATGATAGGCGTGTACAACTTTTGTGTTTAAAGTACAAGACATAAATCTTAATTACCCCTTAAAATAACGTGCTAACATTTCGAGTTGTCTCTGGCTTGAGGTCCCATGACTTGTTATTGGGACTTTTCAGCTACAGGATTTGGAAGTTGAAAAGTTTTTAAAAATATTCTTCAACTAATTAATCAATGGAGGACCCCTTTCTGCATATTTTATATTTTTAAATGTCATTTATATATCAAAGAACAGCTTCAATGAGTACCCAAAGACACTTGCATTTGGATGTTTGTGCAAATCCATTTTTAGCATTATTTTGCATGTGGGTAAACCAGGGTACCTGGAAAAATAATCATTGCATACCATAGCGTGCAAAGATCCATAAAGACAGATTCATGAACCCACTCTCTCTACTGTAATATCGTGGCCACCCCACAACCAGTAGGTTTTGGACTTTCCCAAATGTACATGATCTACCAACACTTTCCTACAAAACACTGGATTACAGGCCATGTGCCAATACACCCGCTTCATGAGTTGCATACGAAATTTAATTAACCTCGTTACAAAAACATGTATAAGTTTTCCCAAATTTTTAACCACAAAGTGAATTGTGTTAGGCCCCTGGGCCCTGCTTACCACTGCGTGCAGGTACTCAGGTCGATGCCGGTGAGGGCCCGTGTGCAGCGCACGGCTGTTTTGATGAGCACGGAAGGGTCCATGTCAGGGTTGGGCCCATCCAAGGATGGGGACCACGGGCCTCCGATGGCCATGGCCTCGTCTTTACCCTTTTGTCCGACAAGGAACTGAGACAACGATCGAGGGCGGTCAGTAACCGAGCGGTCACATCACAGGGAACTACTGTATAAATCATGCTGTGCAATCATCTCTAACAATGGTGTTCTTCAACACAAATACATTACACCTTTATACCATATTTCAACATCAATGTGGCACATGAAGGTTAGGGTAACAATTGTTAAAATAGCTTAGGCTTGTCATTAAATAACAATAGCTTAAAGCGGGACGTTTCTGGGTGGGTCAGAGGTCAGAGTACCAAAGCTGGTAACACTGAGATCCTGGGTTCAAATCTGGGTAGCCGTCGATGGTTGAATCAGGTTCTCTAGTGAAAAAAAAATATCAAGTTGACTGCCATGCAACAAACAGTACCCTCAAGCAGTGGGTGGAAAATGTGTCACCTAGCGTGGATCCAGAAGTTACTCAATATATCATAGGCAGTTCTGAAATAGATCCTTCCATGGAACACTCGAACACAGAGGGCTGCACTGCTCTGTGAATGTTCCTCCCGGATTCTTAATCTCATGAAATTAAGGTGATGGATAGCACAATTGGGATTACAATGGAGAAAAATAAACAGATTAAGGCAAGGTATTACCTTGATAAGCCGTGCCGGATGTTGGAAAGTCTCCTTGGCTTCATCTAAGACCTCAGCCAGAACACAGGACTTCTGATAAATCTCGTCCAGAGATGGGCTGGCCATGAGCATCACCTGAAAACAACGAATGCACCAGACAAGACCATGTATGTTTAACACGTAGGCTTTCGCGACCAATATTATTAATAATAAAGATTTTTGGGTTAGATCGCGTAAGTATAAATGTGTCAAAACCCTCCACCACCCGATACAGCCAATCAGTAAGGTATTTGTCACGTAAACAAAATGCCAAACAGTTACAATCTGAGTACTCAACCTATCTACGTGAAGAGTAGATAGGTTAAAACCTATCTCCGTGACTTTACCGAAAGACCCAAAGAATCCTAACTATTTGGCGTTTATTTACGTGACAAATCCCTTACCGATTGGCCGTGTTGGGTGGTGGAGGGTTTCGACACATTTATACTTACGCGATGTAACCCAAAAACCTTTATTATGAAGACCATGTATGTACTCATATCAGTATAGGGACTTCTACAAATACATATATCCATTTTCCATCGCATTTTCACCATCCCATGTGTATCGTTTCTAATTTCTCCATTTTATTTGTACAATTTTGCATGATTCGTTTGCAAAAAAAACATTATATGATTTGCATATAATTCGTCATAAATAATGAATTCTTAAATGCAATCAATGAAAGTCTAACATAAGAATCTGTTAATTGATTAATCGATGCATCATTACCCACCTGATGGGTACATATCTCCAAGTCAAATAGTTTTTTTGGGTTGGGTCTTTCTTGTGTAGGGGTGTTAGAGAGAGAGCCGTTATGCATGGCAGCTTATGGGAAACAAACACAGTGGGCGGGGCTACGTGAGTGCACGGGGGGGTGCTCTCAACGACGTCCGCACCGGGCAGCCCGGGGCCCCACCCCTCAGCGGGGGTTGAGTATAAAAGGGGATGTGTCAGAGGGCTCGGAGAGAAATGTTAAGCTAATGAGAAGACTGAAGACATCTTAGCTAGAGCCCTGGACTCCCCTAGTTCGACGTCCTTATCAGGGCCGAACAGGATCGAGCCAGCGGCGTGGTTCCGAGAGCCAGAGCCGGTGCTCTTGTCAGAGCAGGTCTGGGCCTTCGGGTACCGGGCCCGACTTACCAGTGTCGGGCCAGATAGCCTCCCCTAGCCCGTTAGTGGAGGACTAAGAGGCAGGCTAGGGTAGCTAGCGTGTGTATTCCCAGCTAGCCGGGTGAGGGGGCCGATACCCCCTCGAGTGTTATATGCCCACTGTTGTGCTGTGAAATAAACCCGTGTGCCTCCAACTCCGGCGTCAAGAGTCGTCAACGGTATTACACTTGTAAAAGGCAAAGACTTTGTCAGTCGGACTTGCTCAATCATTGGCAGTAAAATAACACTCTCGACACTGCTGGGCATCTCATATTTGGTTTGTTGTTGCGTCTCTCCCCCCCCTTCCCTGTTACTTTGTCCCCTTGTCCCTAACTTGTTCTCCCCACGTCCTTATTACCGATGAAATAAAACGGTAAAAAAAGGAAGTGTTAGGAGTTCGTAGTAATCAACCTTGGCACTGTACAGGTGGTTGACATCGGAGGGCTCGAGGCTGGCCGAGTCACCGGCATGCAGGGGCTCCACCTCCTTGTGCAAGACGTGGAAGCTGCACGTCTGGCCCAGCGCGAAGGGACGTGCCATCGGGAAGGCTTCCACCCACGTGAACTGCGTGTCGAAGAAGTCGCTGGGGATGTACAGGTTCTGGTAGCGGCGCCGCAGCTCCATCAGGTCGCAGCCGGCACTGCCGCACACATAAGGGCGAGGGGGGGTTTGCGGAAAGGGACGTTAGAACTATCGAGAAGAGCTCCAAGTGGACAGGTGTCGAATATGGATTTGAGGATTTGCATTTATGTGGCGTTGCTGAAATGCCTCAAACTCAAAGCACCTTACATCTCATCTCAACCATTCTAATGCCATGCGAGAGTTTAGCCATGGGGACACCCCCCAGTGGTAGCCGTCCCTGTGCGACAAAGGGCGCACGTATGCAGCACCGGCCTGCAAAACGGGCACCGAGTTGTTACCGCTGAGCTTAAACTGTGTTCAAGTAAACTGTGTTTTCAAGTATAGTGTGTTGATGGTCACAGTGCAGTCACGAATGATGCCACCGATGATAATGGTGCTAATTATGAAGCGAAATTATGCTTATTGGTGCTAAATACAATGATTTTGGCGATGGTAGCAATGATAATCTTTGTGCCAAGAAACCAAATCGGCTATAATGGTGACATTAAAAAGAAAAAGATATATAACTGCAATATACATTCTCTGATACTTACCTTCTATTTCTACGGTTCGCCTTTTGGCATGCTCTGGTCTGACACTGGTAAGACAAGGCCATAAAGAAGGCTGTCTGGTGTGGGCCAATCAGTTTAAAAGACAATGCATATATAATTATCAGAGCATATTGTTTGCATGTTTTACCACGAGAATGTGTGGTTAATGCCGACTTGATTCAATGGTGTTCAATTGATTGGTATAGTGACAATGATGATAGTAATGTCGACGACAACGTTACCGACCAGTCGAGGGAGAAGCGGGAGAACTCGACGGTGTAGCGAGGGGCCGTGCGGCGGGGCCGGCGGGGCGAGCGTTCGCGTTCTCTGTCGCGGCGCGGCGAACGGGAGCGCTTCCTCACGGGCGAGCGAGAGCGGCGCCGGTCCCTCTCACGGCTACACCACACAAGCAATCATATGTGGGCACACATAATTCACACACATGGGCACAAGCACACACACACACACATGACACACATGTACCATTTTCTGTCCACCTGCCTCTCAGAGGTTCGGAGGACCATATAATCAAGTGTTTGAAACCGTTTACAATAATAATCGTCAGTGATTAAACTCATCTAAACTTCCACGATCATCACCACATGTGTTAATGACCATACACATTCAACATAAAACATTACTCGAGTGACGTAGATACAAATTACAAATTGATTTTGACAGAAATTACAAATTAATATATATACAAATTAACTGTGTTGTGCTATTTAGATACAAATTACCAATGACTTTTAAGATGTGCAATTTAGATACCGACTGCAAACTACAATTGTACAGAAAGGACATCCAACATGAAATTAGCTACTGCCCATAGCTGTTAAGAGACAGGGGACTCTCATCTCAAATAAGAACCAGCACTCACACGGTACGCTTCACGTACCTCTGGTTCTCTCGCCGGGGGAAGGGGGCCTCCAAGCGGTCGGGCCGCACTGACATCCTCCCCGTAGGCTCCATCCTGCGCATGGGGGCCGGGCTGTTCATGGGCCGGCCCTGGTTCTGCAGCATCCCCACTGTGGTGGGGTGAGTATGGCAAGTGTGTGCAGGGCGGGAGGAGAGAAAGAGAAAACATAACATGAGGCACCCGTGACAACTGCTGCGAGTTGGCAAGGTGCAATTAATTAGTGACTTTACCGAAAGAACCAAGAAGAAGGTGCAATTAATTATTTTATTCATTTAACCATTTTTATTTTACCAGGTACGGGCCACTGAACTATATAGCTCTTGTTCAGAAGCAACCTGGCCACTAATGACAGCTTAACAAAGTGTCTTATCACGTGGAAATTTATATTAGCCAAAATACTCTAAATGCATGTTTCTAAAATGTGGAAGGAAAACTCGGAGGATCCAGAGAAACATTCACGCGACCATGGGGAGAACATACGAGCTCCAAATATAGAACAGGCGTCAGGGTAGGGATATAATCCACAACCTTCTGCCTACAAGGCGAGGTAGTTAACATCTCGCCACCGTGGCACCTCTGAAGTCGATGTTCCAGCAGAACTTAATTTGGCCACATCACCTTGCAAAAAAAATTTTTGCAGCTTTTATTTATGCTTTCTTTTTTACAAAAGCGTACACATATAAACTCAGACATGTATACATGAATGTGATGTGAAAAGTGTTCAGTTTATAATCTCTTTCGTATGGCTGAATGAATAGCAACTTAGAAGTCAGTTTCCAGTGTAGTTAGATGGGAAATGGCTTCCATGGACGTATGGCAGATTGCTTTCAATGGCTTGGCTTAATTTTCAGCATTCACAGTGGTTCGTGATTTGGTCGATGGTCTGGTCGTTAAATTTCGATGTGACTTTACCGAAAGAACCAAGAAGAAGAGGTCTGGTCGTTGTTACCGCAATTTCAGATTTTAAAAATCTATGTTATTAGGGTGCCGTGGTCAAGGGGCTTCTGGAATTGTAGTTCAGAGGTGGCTTTAGTAAACTGTGGTAGGTACCCATCTGCTTTGATGTGCGTAAACCGTTAGAAACAGGAGAGAAGCACGTTTTCTCTAGAAATCATGATACGTACATCCAAAACAAACATCGTGGGAGTGTTGTGATGTCCAGATGCTGTTGTTGCTCTCCAAATTCACACCTATGGAAGACAACAAGCTATATGTACATACAAGTGAAGCTGAGGGGGGAATGAAGGGGCAATGGTGCAATGATGATGATTGTCATCATCATCATCAGCCATGGTCTATCCACCGATGGATGAAAGCCTCCCCATTCCATCACAATCTGATATAGTGGTTAGCATGGGGAGGCATCGGTGGTGATTAGCATGGGGAGGCCCTCATCCAGGAGTGGATCGACAAAAGTAGGCTGTATATGTAAATGTACCTATGAACATTATCCAACTGTACAGTCTTCTCAAGAAATAAAGCGAAGAGCAAGCAAGGAAGAATGCGTTGAGCCCATGTTCAATTCAGGACTATGGCGCTCACCTTGCTGCAGGAGCTGCTGAGCGGCCTGCGGTTGCTGTGCAAACAGGGTGGATGCGAGCAGCGCCCCCGACTGCAGCACCTGCTGCGTTTGCAGGGCCTGCTGCGCCTGCTGCGCCTGTTGCGACTGCTGCGACTGGAAGGGCTGCATCGCCGCCTGAGCCGCCTGAGCCGCAGCAGCCACAAACGCCGGCGTCTGCATGGGAGACTGGGTGGGCTGCACCATGTTCTGCTGGAATGAGATGAACGGGATGGTTACATTTTTGGACAAAGCAAAATACAAATTGGTATATATGCATAACTTCTCACACCAACGATTAGCATGGTTGGCTACGTACGGTGTGAAACAAGTTGAACATACATACCCCGTAGACCATATTTCAATGCAGTGCTGCATTAAGAACTGCCCATGCGGTGTCGGTAATGGGGGCCGTTTGAACACAGGCGGTCTCCGACGACCGGTCGAATTTACGACGATCCACATTCACGACGTTAACATAAAGCCAACAAAGAACGATTTACAAAGCAGAAACTCGATTTATGACGCAGCTTCCAACATGACTCCGAACACATTTGAAGACAGTTTGGTTTCCGATGTGACTTGGCGTGGAGCTTTTGTTACTCCCAAGTGTTTTGTGGATTTATGCCTATTAAACCCTGTTAAATATGGACGATATAAAAGGAAATGCACATCGGCAAGTGATGTTTTTGTTGACTGTCTATGGGAAATAGGGTCCGATTTACGACGATGCAATTTACGACGATGCAATTTACGACGATCCGATTTACGACAGGCTTTCCAGGAATGCATTGTAATGTAAAAGCAGGTTCCGCCTGGACTTCTAAAGTGAAACTCAACTTCATTTTTACTTAAAACTTTCGTGACTGGAGGAATTCATATTCTTTGCTTATTTCGGTAAAATCACGTAGATAGAAAATTTAAAAAAATTAAGTGAATAAAAATAAGAATAATAAAATAATAATAAACAAAAACCCACTAATATAGACTGTAGCCTGGTTATTAAGCTGGTGAGCGTACTGGCAGTCTATAATGTAGACTGTAGCCTGTTTTTTAAGCTGGTGAGCGTACTGGTAGTCTATAATGTAGACTGTAGCCTGTTTTTTAAGCTGGTGAGCGTACTGGTAGTCTATAATGTAGACTGTTGGCTGTTTTTTTAAGCTGTTGAGCGTACTGGCAGTCTATAATGTAGACTGTAGCCTGTTTTTTTTAAGCTGGCGAGCGTACTGGCAGTCTATAATGTAGACTGTAGCCTGTTTTTTTAAGCTGGTGAGCGTACTGGTAGTCTATAATGTAGACTGTGGCCTGTTTTTTAAGCTGGTGAGCGTACTGGCAGTCTATAATGTAGACTGTAGCCTGTTTTTTTTTTAAGCTGGTGAGCGTACTGGCAGTCTATAATGTAGACTGTAGCCTGTTTTTTTAGCTGGTGAGCGTACTGGTAGTCTATAATGTAGACTGTGGCCTGTTTTTTAAGCTGGTGAGCGTACTGGCAGTCTATAATGTAGACTGTAGCCTGTTTTTTTTTAGCTGGTGAGCGTACTGGCAGTCTATAATGTAGACTGTAGCCTGTTTTTTAAGCTGGTGAGCGTACTGGTAGTCTATAATGTAGACTGTAGCCTGTTTTTTAAGCTGGTGAGCGTACTGGTAGTCTATAATGTAGACTGTAGCCTGGTTATTAAGCTGGTGAGTGTACTGACAGTCTATAATATAGACTGTAGCCTGGTTATTAAGCTGGTGAGTGTACTGGTAGTCTATAATGTAGACTGTAGCCTGTTTTTAAGCTGGTGAGCGTACTGGTAGTCTATAATGTAGACTGTAGCCTGTTTTTTAAGCTGGTGAGCGTACTGGTAGTCTATAATGTAGACTGTAGCCTGTTTTTTAAGCTGGTGAGCGTACTGGTAGTCTATAATGTAGACTGTGGCCTGTTTTTTAAGCTGGTGAGCGTACTGGCAGTCTATAATGTAGACTGTAGCCTGTTTTTTAAGCTGGTGAGCGTACTGGTAGTCTATAATGTAGACTGTAGCCTGTTTTTTAAGCTGGTGAGCGTACTGGTAGTCTATAATGTAGACTGTAGCCTGGTTATTAACCTGAAAAAAACCCACGAAGTTTTGATCGCAACACAAGCAGTCGTCATCAGGAAAAGGCTCTAAAGGCAAACTGTTTATAAAGGTTTAGAGATGGGCGCAGCCCAAGTGTGTCAGCAGCATGAGCGGGGCAGCTAAGGAAGCAACGACAACGCAGTGGGTCCACACCAATCAAAGGGCCGCCAGGCAATCATTGCACCTAGCTCCAAACACCCACACTGCTGACGGTGGAGGTTGACAAAAAAACACAAATCAAATCATGACCCAAAGTGGTTGATGACATATTTTCAATGCAAGGCACCTGCAAACCATGTTTTATCCATTCCCTCGTCAAAACACTACACCATAGAGCTCAATGGATCTCCGACCATGAACACCTAACGAGTGAACTCAAACACGTACACCAGGCTCTCAAGGCGAATGGATATTCTAACTACACAATCCGCAAAGCCATCACCCCAACCATGAGGAAGGAGCCATCTGAGGATCCAATCAAAACCATGACTTTGCCTTACACAGCAAGGGTAACCAAAAATATTTCCCAAATCATGAACAAACACAAAATCCAGGTCCGATTTAACACAGTACATAAAATTCGAGATCTGATCACATCTGTGAAGAACAAAATTCCTGACATGCAACATCTCGGCGTCTACAAACTAAGCTGTACCTGCGGCAGCAGTTACATTGGGGAAACTAAGCGACAGGTCTCAGACCGTGTCCGTGAACATAAGGCAGATTTGAAACACGGTAGGACTAATACTTCTGCCGTGGCCGATCATTATTTTTACGCGGCTAGCTCACACGAAATTGATTTCTCTAAGACGATGGTACTTTGCAAGCCTACTGGCTATCAACAAAGCTTAGTTCATGAAGCCATCCATATATACAGACACATTTTCAACAGAGAGGATGGTTATAAACTCAGCAATTATTGAAAAGATGTCATCAACCACTTTGGGTCATGACTTGATTTGTGTTTTCTTGTCAACCTCCACCATCAGCACTGTGGGTGTGTGGAGCTAGATACAATGATTGCCTGGCGGCCCTTTGATTGGTGTAGACCCAGTGCGTTGTTGCTTCCTTAGCTGCCTCGCCCATGCTGCTGAGACACTTGGGATACGCCCATGTCTAAAACTTTCTAAACAGTTTGCCTTTAGAGGCTAACCCCCCTTTTCCTGATGACGACCGCTTGTGTTGCGATCGAAACGTCGTGGATTTTGCTTTTATTTTATTCAGGTTAAGAACCAGGCTACAGTCTACATTATAGACTGCCAGTACACTCACCGAGGTTAAGAACCATGGCTACAGTCTACATTATAGACTGCCAGTACACTCTCTGATTTAGAACCAGGCTACAGTCTACATTGTAGACTGCCAGTACACTCACTCGGATTTAGAACCAGGCTACAGTCTACATTAGTGTTTTTTTGTTTTTTCTTATTTTTATTCACTTAATTTGTATTATTATTTTTCTTCTATCTACGTGACTTTACCGAAAGAACCAAATAATATATAACTCAACTATTTTATATTTTACCAGGTAAAGCCCACTAAACTATTCGTTATCTTTAAAAAGCGACCTGGCCACAAATGTTAGCTCAATGAAGTGGCTTATCATGTAGAAATTTATAGCAGCCAAATAATCGAAAACACATGTTTCTAAATGTGAAGGGAAAAACCAAAGGACCTGGAGAAAAACCACACAACCACTGGGAGAGAACATGCAAACTTTAAATATACAGGTATCAAGGGTCGGGATCGAACCCACGATCTCCTGCTTACCAGGCGGGGGATATAACATCTCGCCACCGCTTGTCAGTGTGGGCTAGTGAAAGGGTTTGAGGACCAGTTCAGATATTACACGCCAATGAAGTTAGTCTCTTGAAGGACATCGAACTGAGATTTCTGGATCCATCACGCAGTGCTCCATCCACTGCACCGTCACTAAACACACTGGTACTTTTGTAATGCGGTTGTAAACGGCCCTTCTGAGGTGCCGTCAGGGGGGGAGGAGTTAGGTCACGTGGGGGGAGAGGGGTTGAGTATAGAAGGAGGGGAACCGGAAGAGCAGAGGGGGTGACTGGGAGCCAGGAACAGAGGAAGGCCACGTAGGGCGAAGCGGGGTGTGGCGAGATCGCCACGAACACGGGGGAAGCGAGGATCGGCACCGTTGGCCAGCGGTGACCGACCCGAAGCAGCAAGGAGGCTGCAGTCAGCAGCGGGGCTGCACAGAGAGAGTGGGCAGCGGGTCTGCATACAGTGACAGCCAGAGGGTCTGCACATAGGGGTAGCAGCGAGTCTGCAGGGAGGAGGTTACAGTAGATGAAGCAGAGAGTCAGAGGGGTGAGGAAGCTATAATAGCAGTGAATAGCCGGGGGCTACAAATACAGGAGTTATAACAGAGTGCCGTGTGGGTAAAGACGTGAACCTGAATAAAGACACGAAGACAGAAAGAAGTGTTCGAGTCCTTTTATTACACTGGAGTCAGAAGTGAAACGGCATGGCGAAACAACTGAGGAAGAAGAATATCCCATCTCCGGCGTCGGCTTCATCATCGGACGACGACGATCTTCCTCCTGAGGTCGGCTTCACTTCGGCGGAGGGAGAGATCCGTGAGGGCCCGGGTGTGGAGGAGGTTGCCGCTGCGCCCGACCCATCTGCGTTGAAGGACGAAGATTTAAGATGGACCCGGATGGCGGAGCAACTGGCGACCCTAAAAACCGTCATCACGGAGTTGTGTGACCTTGTCACGCCAAGGGCGGCGTTGGAAGGTGATGGTGGTGATCGGCAGGAGCCCGGGTCGTCTTCGATGGCGCCGCCATCGACCACGCGGCGTGAAGACGCCATCTTGGGCGTGGCGCACCACGGAAGGCGGGAAGCCGCCATCTTGGGGCCGCCACGAAGATCGTCCGCCATCTTGGCGACACCGCGTTGCGACGCCTTGCTGAACTTGCCGCCGGAAGAGTCGGTGACGGACGGAAGCAGGCCAAGGAGCCGCAGTCGTCACCTTACAACTGTTAAGGAGTTCTCCATCGGGGGCGATTGGAGTGCGTTCGCTTGTCGATTTTTGGCGGCGGTACGAACGGCAGGGTGGACGGACGCCGAGGCGCTGGAGGTGCTTCCGAC